TGCGCCTGCTTGCCTATGTCACGTGGTAGCGGGAAGAAAGACGATGAGAGGGGCGTACCGAGGATTCCCATTATTCATTGCAGGATTTTTTCAAAGGGTCTATTCGATTCAGTCAAATCTCAAATAGCGTGGATACCTGCCATTGCCCCAACGGCAGTTGAAACAGTTTGTGTAACAAAGGTACGTATGAGGATCCCACACATACAGCAAACATTGCTTGAAATCAGGTGTTTCAATCAACCTTGCTTTCTAAAACTACAACAGAATGCTTTGAAGCACGTTTGACACTTTACCAGCCCCAATGTCCTACCGCATCCCCTCATGTTCCTACCTCAAACCGTTGAGCAATGTAATGTAAAAAAAGTCACGCAAAAACAGCAAGAGAGTTAATACCAGATAACAATTATGTATCTCGTGTCTAGTCGTTCACCGATTTGCCCAAAGCCAGACTGTTGGTGGAGACATTGGGACCAAGCATTGACCAGTAGGCTCAGTCGATTGCTGCAATATATTTACCTGTGCAAGTTTAGCACAAGCACGTTCGATTCGGAAACAGCCTATTTCAAAACACAGCCATAAGTACATTGCCCTGCATTTCCCTGCACCGGTGCAGGTTAGTGCAGGTAAACTGAAGGAGCCCATTGTCAACATTGTCAAGGCTAGCATAGCTTCCAGTGCTGCTGCCTCACATTGCTGTGAGAGCATGCAGTTTCCTTTTGTGTCACATCTGCATGCTGTCCTGTGTGAAAGAGACAGTGAAGGAAGCCAATGTGTTTGCACCGGTAACTTTAAGATCTTTAAGCCACTGCAGAAACTATACTGGACTTGACAATGCAGCACAAAATATTTGATGTCAAGCACAGATCACTTCAGTTGGGGAGCTTTCCATAAACACTGAACAACATACAACATTCAAAGCCATGCCCAATATTTTGTAATGGCTGCCGGTGGCACTGCCAGCACATGTCGTCTGTCAGCTACAAGCTTGGGACAAAAGCCACATATTGCCAGCACTATGCTTTAACACTTTTGACAGTTTTGGACAAGCCTAGCTCCTCGACGTGGAGCCATTCCCAAACCGTTCAAGACGAGTATTCGCAACTCCAATGCCCCATAGAACGTGGGGCTGTAGTTCCAAGATGGCAGAAGAGATGGGAACAGATTTTCCATGCACCTGCTCACTGACGTTGATCAGTGTACTCAAAATAATTTATTTGGCTGGAAATGCGAAATGGTCAAGCATGAATGCATCACAAGTGACAAACATGTTGGCATAGATTAGGAAAACCAGCAACTTGCTTTTTAGAAGCTGCAGAAACATCACAGATCTTGTAATGCTTTGTGGAAGCCGTGCGTGTTTTGAGCACCGGTCACAACATTATGTGTGGCAAAATAGCTTTGTGGGTGGGTGAAAGTACTGTGGTGTTTGCGCTGTGCCTGGTCACCAGTGTCCTAAAATGTGAGTCACACATAGTGACCATCAAGCTCCGGTAGAGCAGCGTTCACAGTATTAATGCCTCTTGTGTCAGAGGCTTACAGCTCACTGCACATCATCACGGCTTTAGTGCATTGCAACACATGATCAACTTGCACCGTGGTTACTAATAAGCAGCTTTAGCATAGTGTGGCCACAGGCTACCGTGCAGTGAGGCATTGCTACGAGAAGTTTGTGCTGCACCTCTTATGCATGACTTTCAACGCACGCCAGGGTCATTGCCGTACTTACGGTAGCCTGCGGTAATGCAATGCAAGAACGGCATAACAATGCCATTGGCATGTTTAGGCCTTTTTTATCACTGTGGCTGGTGTTACGTCTGGACGGAGCACTGAAACATGCAAACCTAACCCTCCCCCCGCCCTCCTCTCTTTCTCTCCCTCAATAAACTAAGGAAGGCGGAGATTTGGACGTACTTTGGGGTTACGTCGGACGTAACGCTAGACACTTTGTTTATTTATTGCTCTGCCAAAAGAAACATTCAAGTATTGTGTTATTCACATCCTCAAGACAGGCATCGTCAAAACTGCCCATTCTAAGCACACCTCATGGTCGGCACACAGAAATGCTAAAAAATGCTACAAGCATTTCTTCATTTGCCTTCGTAGCTAACTGAAAGCAGATATGCATAGTCTACCTTTTGAAAGTGCTTGGAGCCAATGCCATGTTTCTTGTCACGGCCTTTCAGCGCATAAAATTGGAACCCATCCCCGATGTCTATTGCTCGATACACCGTTAAACAAGCAGTTCTTTCCTACTTTCTGGAAAGAATAAACTCTTTGTAGATCACACGTAAGAGCTTTGTGCTATACTAAGGGGAGCTCTTCGCCGTCACGTTGAGCACAGATTGTGCTGGCGACCGCACGACCCGAAATCCATAGCATATGCAATCTACAAAAAGTTCCTAAGGAATGACATATCCCAGTCACTTTGCACAACACTGTTGCGTAGTGGACCATAACAATTCCTATTATAACACATTTGTTTGTTTTTTGTGAAAACTGCATGATGCACGAACATGCTGACCAGAACAGCAGCGCCAAGAGCGACGAACCCTGCCGCCGTCTCCGCCACCTTCCCTGCACCTCTGGTTCTTTGTTCGTCCGCGAGAGGGCGAGTGGTGGGCTGGAGTTGCGAATAACTTGTCTGATTTCCCCGGTTCTTGCACTCAACCGCTTTAAACAAATCAGGCTCGCTCATGCTTTAATTTGAGGCTCTGCCGAGAAATGGCAGCTTAATTTTCTTTTAATGTTGCTCCAATTTTTTTTTTTGCTATAAATTTGATTTTAAAGGCAACAAATGTAATTTTGAAGAGAACAATTAAGCAGTTGAAGGTCAGTAGTTTCCCATAACTAAAATCGGTTAAGGGGTAAAACATAGTGAAAACCATAAAAATGTTTTTGCCGGCGACTGGTTAAATCAATTGCAAATGCATAGTGCGTGCAAAGGCACTTCCAACTTAGACAGGTGAGGATTTAAATATGTTTTTATGCCCACAGGAATAAAAATGGTAATGTGTTATAAAGAAAACGAGTAATTGTTTTAAAACATGACAATGCAAATAACAGCCTCATACAATTTGAAAATACTGTCATTTGCAAGCACGCAGGGTGGCCGACGAAAATCATAATGTAGCGAAGTTACACAACTGAGTTCACCCAATGACCCTGGGCGCATGCGCGTTGTCGAGCGCCATCGTTCAATCCAAATGCGTTTGTTTTGTTTTGTTTTAAATATAGGAAAGAAAAAAAAAACTTTAATGCGGACTTTCTGGCCTCTTTGGGAATGCGTCTTTCCACGCGCAAGTTGAGCACGGTTGAATGTAGAGTTGCCACTGCTGGACCTAAAGGGAAAACTTCAGAAGTTACTGATGCCTGCAATCTGTGCACGTTCCTGGTTTTTTTTTTTTTTTTTCTTACGGTTTGAATTATTTACATCGTAAAATGCGTCCGACAAGCGATAGAAAATGGATTGCCATTACTAGTGCGGACAGGTATGCTTAGCGACAAGGTGAGAACGGCAGAGCGTCTCTTTCGAATGCCCGGTCTCCAGCGCGCGCTCGCCGCCTTCTGGCGTGCTTTGGCTGGGCGTGCATGCGTGAGGCAGAGACGCCGGAGCGTTATCGTAGGAAATTCGCGCTCGAGGCGGGACAACTGAAACCATGAAGATCCCACCCTGCCGTTCTCACACCGTTTGTGACTGTAATTGGAAGCAAAAAGAAACGCATAGATACTGGCAATATTTGACGTACCTGGATCAGTATCCTGTCCATTGTTTTAACTTCTGGAAACTTCAGCAAAAATGCATCCTTGGTGGTCTCCAGCGTGTAGTCCAGCGGAATGGATAAAGGCCGACAGAACTTCTCGTAGAAACCAACACACCTTAACATTTCGTTCGTAGAACAAACGGCAGCGGGGATAGAAACTCGAGAGTAGAACAAAAACTGACAAACATGTGCAAGAAAAGCAAGAGAAAGACGCGGCCCAGTAGCTCAAGTCGGCTCCTCAAGCCAGTGGATAACAGTGGCTCATTTGGCTCGGTGCCGGATAAATAAATTGTATATGTATCTGCATTTGATGTCCTTGCGTTATTTTTTAAGTTTTAGAGATACAATTTGTAATTGCTAAATAATTACATACCAACATTGCTCTCCTTCGATACTTCGAATCGTTGCTCAGTCGGCTCAGTGGTGTGCCTCGGCGGCTGGATCAACTCGGTTAGTGCTCAGTCGCTCAGTGGCGCGGCCCACCTGTAACGCTGTGACGCGACAATTTGCGACTGCCATGCCTGCCATGATTGCTCTGCTGTTGTATCTTGCGTGACTTTTGTTCTTTTGTTTTCTTCTTTTTCAACGATTCGATACTTCAAATCGCTGCTCAGTCGGCTCAGTGATTTGCCTCGCCGGCTGGATCAACTCGGTTAGTGCTGCTCAGTGGCGCGACTCACCTGTAACGCTGTGACGCGACGATTTGTGACTGCCATTACTGCTCTGCTGTTGTATCTTTTTGCGTGACTTTTGTTCGTTTTTTTTTTTTTTTTACGATGCCTGCTGTTTACTGCCCGAGATGTGCTTTTAAAGGGACGTCCGTCAGACGAGTGGTGAATCACATGAGCGTCCACAGCTGTGAGTCGGACTTTCGCGTGATATGCGGGATCGGAAGCTGTGCGGCATCGTTCCGCCGTTACTTTGCCTACAGTGCAGCACGTTTACCGTGCGCACGGAGCAGTAGCGGGGATAATTCCGACTCCAAATGGACGTGCTACTTGAACCGATTGCGCTGACGGAAGCGAAGAACGCTCCTCGTCTCCCGCACCGAATGAAAGAAACGCTGACAGTGAGGACCCGTCAAGAGGCGGTGCGATTAGTGGCATCCGGGAGCAGCTTGTACTGTTCTATCTTCGGATCACCGAGAAGTTGAAGCTTGTCTTCAGTACAGCGGACGAAATATTTGCTGTAGTGAGATCACTCATCCACCAAATCCTTCAAGATCACACCCAGCAAACAATGAAGCTTCTTGGGGAGGAAAAAGTCGCATCATCCGTCATGAAGAAACTGCAATCACGTCTAAATGCGGCGGAGATGGTTGAAGACATGTTCTCAGGGCTGGGCACCATCCACCTAAGAAAAAAGTATGTTGCGGAAAATTTTCCGCATACTGAAGTCACCGAGGTGCCGCTTGATGCGAGCAGTAACGACTCAGTCTGCTACATTCCGGTGCAAAAGCTTTTGATAAGTTTCCTACAGTCGGAAGACATGCTGGAATGTCTTATGCAGCCTCTTTCGACGTCGTCAGATGTACTTTCCGACTTTACCGATGGTGACTTTGTTCATCAACACCTTCAAGTTGCACAAGATGCCAGCCATAACACTATATTCCTCCTTCTGTACACCGATGAGCTGGAAATCACGAACCCCCTCGGCAGTGCTGCTGGACGACACAAGATTTTAGCAGTGTATTTTTCTATACTCAATCTTCACCCTCGGCACCGGTCGAAACTGAATGCCATCCACCTGTTGCTACTTGTGGAGTACCCGGTCGCTGTGCATCACGGCCTGGATAAAGTGCTGGCTCCCCTGGTGCAAGACTTGAACATCATTCAAGCACATGGCATTGATGCCAAGAACATGCACTTTAGTGTAGTAACAGTGGCTTTCACCGGGGACAACTTGTCTATGCACCGCATAGCAGGACTGCAGTGCTCCTTCAGCAAGGGCCGGATCTCCCGATTCTGCTTAGCTCGGCATGAGGACCTAAAGCAACTGCATACTGTAGAAGGCTGCATCGAAAGGACGAGCGCAATGCACAAGAGCCACCTCGATGCCTTTGCGCTCGATCCCTCAGTAAATGGGCCCCTGTACGGCATTTCCAATGTGTCCCCTCTTCAAAGTTTGAACGACTTTGAGGTCACCGACCAGCTGCCACCCGACGCCATGCACGACATACTCGAGGGTGGTGTCGGTTGCGTCCTTCGACAAGTCCCGGGTGGCCTTATTCAAGACAGAGTGCTCCGGAAGCAGGACCTTGAGAGAGTTACAGCTTTTGGATATGGGTTCCATGATAAGAAGTCGGCACCTGTGGCAGTCAGGGACACATTCCTCACCGGTAAGGCAAGCCTCAGAGGAACAGCTAGTCAGAAGTGCTGCCTCTTTCGACTGCTTCCACAGTTGTATGGAAACTCCATCCCCGAAGGCAACCCCCACTGGAAGGTGTACCTGGCTTATCGTCACGTTGTTGACATCATCCTGGCCGAAAGGATTCCGAAGGACTGCATTCCTTATCTTCTAGTGAAGGTGCAGGAGTTCTTGGAGCTGTACACCAGACAGTATCCGAATGCAGCGGTTACGCCCAAGCTTCATTACCTGCTGCACTATCCAAAGTACATCCTGAAGTTTGGGCCACCTCGCCGCTTCTGGGGCATGCGGTTTGAGGCGAAGCACTCGTACTTCAAGAGCATTGCCTCCAAAGTTAAGAACTTCAGAAACATTTGCCTCACTCTTGCGACACGCCACCAGCTCCTCCAGGCCTACGAGCTTTCAGGGAACCTCCTTGACTCACCTCTCGAGACAACTGGAGCCAAGCCAGTGGAGGTGGTAGAGCTGCCAGGAGACGAACAGGCTGCCATCGCCGAAGTGACAGCAGACGTGGTGCTCTCCACCGTGAAGTCTGCGAGTCTCCACAGTTCTCGCTATCGCCTTGGCGATGTGTTTGTTCATGAGGTGGAGCACGACATTCCCCAATTCTTGAAGATTGAAAAACTTCTTGTCGGTGGTTCGCTGCTAATCCTCCTGTGCCAGCGTCTTACCACATTGCGTTGTAGCGAGCACAGATGTTCCTGCATTGTGAAGGAATGCGACGACATCGTTGCAGTATTGCCAGATCATGTGGCAAACTTTTATCCACTTGACCTTTACCGCTGTGCGGACTTTTGCGAGGTTGTGCCCCATTATGCCATTTTAGATTAATTCTAAGAACTGTCTTGGTATTTTTGGGGCTAAACAACAGATTTTTGTTTCCCCTTGTTTGCTGGTGTTTTTTGTTTTGTTTTTTCCCCCGCCTGCTTGTGTAGTGGTTTTCTCTACGAGTGGTGTCAGTGTGCTGCATGGTTTGGCCTTTTTTGTGTTGTGTGTATGTTTTTTTTTGTTTTAGGCCTTAAGACTGGTCACAACCATTTTGGTGAATTTATATTTTTGTTACTGGTTTCCATGGTTAAGGAAGTTTATTACTTTGTGTCAGATCACTTAGTTCTATGTATTGTTTGTATATATTTTTTCCCTTTACACGACTTACTTACCTGTGTTTAGAATGATGTGCTGGCCATGCTGTCTTTGGTGAAGCTGTGTCCCATTATATAAAAATTGGTCTCCGTATAATTCGGTTATGCAGTTTAGATGTCTTAATAGGTAACTTAAGAAGTGTGGTTCTTTTGTGCTGGTTGCCTTTGGTTTTTGTTCTTTCTGCTTGTGTTAAGTCTTCTTTAGGAGTGGTTGTGTGAGTGTGATGTGCGATTTGGCTTTTCTTGTGTCATTTGCATTTACATGTTTTGTGCTGGATTCCAAGGCTAGTTGCAACCATTTTGGTGAATTTTTTTCGTTGCTGGTTTTCAGGGAGTTAATTACTTTATGTCTCATCAGTTGGGTCCTTTTGCATATTGTTTGTATGTAGTCTTTAGTCTTTATTTTTTGGCTCTGGAGAGCTGCGGCACCGCAGAAAGACAGCAGCTTGTACCATGGAGGTCCGCGGTGCTGCGTCTAGTGAACATGATAATGTGATGAGTGTATACATGCATGATGACGACGACATGGATTGTTGGTATTGGGGAGGGTGACAGTCCGATTCGCAGAAGTCCAGATTTCGTGGAGGGTGGTTGGGCGGGTCAGCAGCGAGCCGTGGGGATCTGGCACGCCGTCTGATTGGTGCATGAAGGAGCCCCAGGTGCTTGATGGCGCTGTTGCTCACTGGGGTCCACTAGGGTCGAAGCATCAGGCTCCAGGGAGGTAGCCCAGTCAAAGTAGAAGCTGCCGCCTTCGAGGAACCGAGGCTCAGGGCTCAGATTGAGGTACCGCCTTCGCCTGGTGTGTCATCCTCTCAACGTCGTCGTTCATTTTCGCCCGCCCGTGTGTTTTGTTCCTTTGCACTACATGAATTGCATTTAAAACTCCATTCCACATGCCATATCTTCATACTGCCACGCGCGCAGCTGGCCAGGTAGGCAGTGCGGCCGTGGCCTCATGGTTATTGTGCTTGCCTCCCACGCAAAGAGCCAGGGTTCGATTCCCGGGAGCGATGCATGTTTTATTTATTCTTTCAGTTTAATGTTCTGGTACATTTGAGAACTCTGTTGCTTGTTCGAGGTACGAATTTTCCATTCGCCGAACCTTCTAGGTCGATTGTTCCAGAAGCCAGCGCGTGTGCATAAGGGGCTCTGCGTGGCGATCTGCAGTCAGTCTCGCCCCAGCGTTCGATCCTGCTGTTACACCAACTTCGATGCCCGCGATGCTTTGTTGTTATCTTCTGTTACCTTTTTGTTTTCAGCATAAGTTCGCCCCATTAAATGTTTAAGTTTACTCAGTTATTCTCTGTTTCGTCACCTAGCCACTCGTGACAATATCTAGTGCAGCCTCACGGTACGCTATTACTACTGTAGCAGCTTGCTAGATTTTATAGTAAGATGATAACAGGGATGGGTAGTACACTAAATGCACGCTGTTAACTTGAACACTGCTGGCTTGGGACATGAGCCACAGAACGATTTCCAACCTCGACAACGACAGACACTGAGGTTATCGTCTACGACAATGAGCAGGTTACCCCCACAAACTGGTGGCCCGGTCAGAAGAATGAAGCAGGCAACCATGAATTTCGATGGTGCCCTTTTAGGGGACAGATGTAAAATCAAACTTTCACCTCTGGTGAGCAGAACCTTGCGGATCCACTCGGGGATTGTTTTGTGCTCATGGTAGTGCTGCAATGACACTTTAGCTTCCCGATTTTTGGCCCTCGGACTGTGAATTATGGTTTTTCCATGTTGTGAAGCACTCCTTCAATCGAACAGGATCACAGCTCAGAAAACCAAGTACTGCTGTTGTCGAGCGTTGCTACATCTACTGCGGCCATTATCCGTGACCTTCTCTGTTCACATACCCCGGAGGCCCTGTATCGAACTCAAGGGCAAGCTCTTCTGCCGCATCACCACTTCGGAGCAATGCAGGCTAACAGCTCCTCAGGACCGGAGGACTGAAAGGATGCGAGTTGTCTAAATTGTTTAGAAAAATGCAAGAACTACCCGGAGAAAAGGCAGGCACATTAGATATCTCCAGCCATAGAGTCGTTTATGCAGCGTCTCCCTGACCATGTTGGAGCGATATTGCCTGCTGTCGGTGTGTGCTTCATCGATTTATCACTCGCACAGCTGACAAGATTTTGGAAGTGGTGGCACCAGTGGTGTTGTCCACCCATCGGAGCTTGGGCACCCCACCCATCACTGAGAAGTGGCTGCGCTGGGGGAGTTGTTCATACCATATGTGCCCAAGTTGATCAGCACTCCATAAAAGTTTTGGTCCTCTGTCACCCTCGGCGTTCCCCATTTAGAAGCTGTCAGCATCCATTCTTCTCCAGTCAGTGCAGCACGGCATCCCGTTACGTGCTACATCCTGGAATTTACAATCAGAAAAATAGAGTGGCCGATGCTTTTTCACCGATTCCGGTCAATGCCTAGGCACCTGAATGCCCTTTCATCGACTTTGCAGCTTTTGCACGAGTAGAGCTGAATGGTTCTTCGTCTCTAGTCCATCAAGAATTATCTTCACTATATGGCTCAAAACCCCTCATCTGTAATGTTTCTGGGCCTGTGCCTCGACCTTGCTAATTAATTTAGTAGTGGTGTAGCTCGGATCACCACAATTGATTTCAACACGCTATGTGTGGCCAAAGATGAATGCGAATGTCCGGGTCCAATCAAGCGTGAGCCGCCGATGTTCTAAGGTTGGTCGTCACAGCATTAGCTGCCTTCGCAGCCCCTAACGCTCGCTTTGACCATGTTCATCTTGATTTAGTCTGACCCCTTCCTCCATTTGAAAATTGCCACTATCTCCTTATGTGCATTCACCGCTTTATGTGATGGATCGGTAACGGTTTGCTGTTAACAAGTGCCCTCAGCAGTAACAGGCGACCAAGACAGGCAGTTCCAGTCACCCATCTTCAACAACTTATCCAGACTCCTAGGCGTTTACCATATTCGTACCACTCCTTAGCACTTCGCAGCCAATTTCATTGTGGAAAAATTTGAAAGTTGGAAGTGTTAGTGAAAGCCAGTGATTCACCATTGATCTGGTAAGAGAGCCTCCCACTCGTTATGCAGCAGAGTGCCGAGGTGAAGCACATCTCGCACGTTGCGGCACATAATCTTGCCAGGTATGTAGGACGCTGTATGGGTAGGCATGATAGTCATGTGACACCCGAGTCTTTAACCACAGCAGTGGAGACAACGATCCAGCTCGATTGTCAGTCTGTTCGAGCTGGCGAAGCGGATAAGTGGATACTGCTTACTGATGAAAATGCCGGCGGCAGATGCGACAGGGTAGTAGTGGTAGCAGAGGCCATGGAAGTAGAAGACATGTCTCCTGGATATTCATTCGAAAGCAGTCATTTTTGTGTTCCGGGCCTTGGAGAATGTTTACTTGGGTAGCAGGTGCTCAGAGTCGTTCATCATATCCGTGCCACCGATTTGTAGCGTGTTCAATGTTGGAGGACAGAAAAGTTTGTGTGACTGACTCTGACCCTAGGTGGACAGGTCCGGTTTATTTTATGCTTGAGCTACTAAGTTGATAGACCACTGCAACATCTCATAGTCCTAGGATCTGCTGGAGATTGCATTTTCATGTGAAAATTAACACTTTATGGGTTTTGTTATTCTCAAGTTCATTGTTGACAGTTATTGTCACCTTCAGACAAATCTTTTACTCAAAGTTCAGTGTTGTAAGGTGTAGGAAATTGATTGATTGACATTGTGTAATTTCTTGGATAGTGGTGTGCAAGGGAATCTTCACACGAGGCATCACAGTCTTAAAAATTCTTCAACATCGCTTTGTTCAGAAAGTCTTTTTGTTTCTGAGAAACCGGGTTAAGAATAAAATAATGCTTATCATTGAACAATTTGTAATTTTTCCTAGCTCATTACACTTATCATTGTGCTCACACAAGTTATTTGTGAAACTATGTTGGCAGAACTTTTGCTTGGTCATTGTTAGATTGCAGCAAACATTTACTTAAACAATTTTACAAAAAATTTACTATGTACTAGGCCACATGACCACGTAATAATTGAGGATCGTTATGTACAACGTGTAGATTCTTCTTTTGGGCCATCATTACTGCTCTCTGTTCAGCTACATCGTTCTTGGTGCTCATCAGTTTTCACGCATCGAATCTATAAACATGAAATTAGCCCCAGAATAGGTCAAGATTATTCTACTCTGCTAATGAACAAAAACAAACAAGAAAGAGTTACTATTTGGGAGAGAGAACACAAATAGATGTATCTGCTGACTGATAAAGGATGTTTAACTTTTACCTTGTTGTGCCAGCAACTATGCATGTTTTTAGAAACTTGCTGATAAGTGAGCGTAATGAAACTTGTAGTTCTCTTTTTATTGGTGAGAGGGGCACCATGAAAGGGGCACCAGTGTTAGATCATGCATTTGACATATAGATTCATACTTTCTTCCAATACTTCGTGAAAAGAATGAAATCTCTGCTCAATAATACTAATTTATTGTTAGTAAATATAAAAATAAGTGCATCAATTCACCTGCATGACCAAATACTGCTCAACAAATCGCCTCTTGTACAAGTTGTTTTCTTTGGCAAGTAACTCGGTGAGATGGCATACATCAAATTGGTTTTCGAAAACTGACTTTGTCTGGAAATATGGGAATGCTACCGTTCTGATTAGATAGAAACACAGATGGATAACTGTAGACATTTCTTCTGTTTGTTTTAAGAGAACAGGCATCTCACTAACTGAGCATGCAAACTCTAATAAACCTGATTCACCTACCTTGTGGCTTTTTCTGCAATCCACATTTCACTTAAGCCAATTTTCTGTGATACGTAGAAGTTGGACTAATTGACAAGTCTTTTTCAAGCTCTTCCTGAATTAATGCGTTTTTTTATACGCTTTATTTTTGTGGTCGATCTCAGATACTGGTTTGGATTCTGCACATCAATATAGTGTAGCTTTTTTTTTTAGTAATTATTTTGGATGAGAAATATGACATCAATTTCTTTGGTCAGCAGAATATTCAGCACATCCTGCTCTGAATGTACAGTACATACATGACAGGCCGACTTTCTAATGTTCAAAAATGTTTGTTCAATATTCACTATTTTTCACATGGCTGTGACATTAGTGCAGTCATCCTTTTGTTATAATTAAAAACTGAAGAGCGTGTTGATAAAATTAACTGACAACAGAAAAAAACAAAAAATGGGGACGAAGGACAAAAAACATTTCTTTCTTTACTTTTATCTATTTTTATTCTTTAAGAAATGTTTGTCGTTTTATTCTTTCTGTGGTCAATCCTTTTGTTAGTTGCTTTTAAGATTCATTTCACTTCATTTGGCTCGGGAGAGTCGGGAAAAGAGCAGAAAGGCTAGAGGCCCATACCAGTTGGTATGACTTAGCTCACTATATTTGTATCTGATCAAAGTCAATATTCAGCTAACAAATATTGATTCATGATCCCAGTCAATCTGTGAAAAATTGGTGGGTGCTGCATAAATAATAGGACCAACGTTAAAAAAATGGCAGCTGTATTTTCATTTTTATTTTCAACCGCGCAGAGTTGAAGTGGATGAGAAACGACGTATTTGTGTGATACAGTTTAATGGCGATTCGGTTGTAGCTCAGAAACAGCTTCGTGTTTCAACGTCAGCAAGAAGAATTACGAGAGCGCTAAAGGCGCCGAGCAGAACCGCGTCCGTCTTGCCTTCGGTACAGAAGTTGAGCGGAAACCGGAGCACACGGGCTCCGACTGCGAAAAATAATGTTTTTTATTTTTTTTTTTTTTATTTTACTAAGTTGGCGTCGCGTAGCCGCCGAAGATAACGGCGCAGGTGTTCGACTCTCTTCCGCCGTAGACGCGGCGCTCAATATCACAACAAGGGAAAATATATTTAGTTTCAATAAAAATACGGTACTGCATTAATAAAAAAAAATTAACAGTTTAGAATTGCTGCCACACATATTGTAGCGGCAATTGCCCAAAACCCATATATGACCGCTACAAACAACAGAATTGAGACGTCGTCTTGTTTCTTCCACCCAGTCTCAGGTGGTCTAAAAAATGGTAGACCTCCCTGTTATTCCATGACCGGCACGCACACGCTAGCGACATATCAAGCACTATCATGTCCTAAGGAAGATGAAGCGCCTTGGCGGTTATAAGAGACTTACAAAAACGTAATAATATTTCAGCGATGTGTCCAATCTTTCCCACATCTATACACTTTTAGATGCTTAACGACTACGTTGGCTACGTGGCTACGTCCCCGAGCGAACAGAAATATTGTTGATGTGGCAGCGGAGTATACCTCTCGTGCTGGTTGCGTCACCCACAGTAAAGTGAACGTAGTTCAGTAGCGATCGCACCGTCGATCACACGAATACTTTGCAGAGTCATATTCAATTGCTGCCTCACCCGGCGCACAGCTCATTCGCGAACGAAGGTAATCGTGGACATGGAGGAAATTTCCTCCCTTTCCCGGCTCCCGGTAGAGGGCGCGCCTTCTAAAATCAGTGAAAGGGAGGAACAGCACCGATTTCCTCCCTCTTCACCGGTTATAGGGAGGAAAAACAAAATTTCCTCCATTTGTCTACCCTTTTTTCTTAGAGTGTGGAATGTCGTCGGACGGCACTCTAGACACAGCCAATACGAAAAGGCAAATGAAAAGGAGATTCGTGCTCCGTGTCATTCTGATGACTTTAAGATAGAATGCTGCTGGACAAGCATGAAGTACCTAGCAGCAAAGGTTCACACAAAACGCACGAACCTTTCGATTGTATCCGAGGGCGAGCATGGGCGACGGGTTCTCGGTCGTCCGCATACCGTCTACGAAATGACGAGAGCACACACGAGAAGACTCGGACGGTGAAAACCCCTTTCGGTTAACGGCAGTTGACCACTGCCGACGCAAATCACCGTCCGCAGGAAATCAGTGGGGTAAAACATGTTGCAGCCACGTTTTCTCTGCGGAATGTTGTGCTTCACCCACACGCTGTCAGCAGCGAGTTTTCGTTTACGCTGGTTGTTGTTGCAGTCATAGATGACGCAATGCTGCCCAGAAGAACCCGGGTGAGAATACGCTGTAAAAAGTTACAACCAAGAGCTCCCAAAAGGTCAAAAAACAATATCCAATATAGCGGGCCACACGTACAGGTACCCAGCATCACACTCCGTTGATTTAGGGTTAGTTTGGATGCCAAGGGGAATCCCGGAAAACCTACTCTCGAAACCAATGACGCTTTTCACAAATTATTTTTTTTCCCTGGGATCGAGATTTTCTTGGAATTGTGCATAGAGCCAAAAACTTTGTAGTTAATTCTTAATTTAACCTAGAAGAGTTTGAGAAAAATATATCCCTTTATGTTCCTTTACTCTATATTTTAACTTATTGGCTAGTTGTACAACCTCTATACTGTTGTTTCATTTGAACGCTTACGGTTCAGCTTACTTTATGATTGTATAACCTCTCGAGTTAACCACCGATTTTGTAGTTTTAACTTTTGTTGGCGCAGAGTTGTCCTCACACTATGATTTTGTGATCAAATTGCTACACAAGCCATTGAATTTATTACATTTGGCGAAGGGGTCTCTTGAAACGTTTTTAGATAAAGAGTTACAGATTCAACCTCGCTGCGGAAAAAAATACTTAAAAACAACATTGTGCACAACACGTTTACTTTCGTTGTCGGGAACTAAACAAGAAAGAAACTCGAATTTATATTCCGAGATACCTTGCATCATATTGTATTGAAGAACATCGAAATCAAGGAATATAAGGTCACGTCTGAAGCCACCATTTTCGACCCCTAGTTGTCTCAGTCATGACCTGTTCAAGGCCGGCACTGAATGCTGCACTTAGGATTTCTGTTGAATGAAAAATAGGGATTCCCGTTGTCTCCCCACACGTCTATATTTGAAAAGTTAAAGTGAGTTGCAATAATAAATAGGGAGTTTTAAAATAGCGCACTCTAAAGCTTTGCGCACGCAAAGAATAGCGTCGTCGCCACTGCGCATGCTCCGAACGCAAACCAGGTTTTGCGCTTTGCGTGCGCAATTTTAGCGCTCGCTATTTCTCGGAAGTAGCGCGCGCTATTTCCGACGACGCAAAGGGTCTTTGCGTCGTTCTCGTGCTGCGCGATAAGTTGCGAGAGGGCTAAAGCCAAGACCCCAGGCCAAGACGATCCGTCTTCTAATCCGGCGGGAATAGGCAAATGGCGGCTCAGAAGGCAGCAGCAGCGGCAGGAGCCTCCTCGCGATTGCGCTTTTCTGCGCAAGATGACATTTCGCTGTTACAAGAAGTTCACGCCCTCAACCCGTTTGAGGACCCATCGCGATGGGCCCAAATCGCAAGCAACCTTCTTTCAGCCACCGGCAAAGGTTTTAGCACGCGAGCGGTACGTGACCGCCTCGACCTGCTGCTCGCACAGTTTGCTGCAGAGGATCGCGCCAACTTAAGAAGGTGAGTGTGCTGCTTCATTTACTGCTAAAGATTATTTAAAGCAATGCGGCGTTAAAGTGTGTGCTTTGATCTGAGCAGCAGGTCGAGCTCAGTTGCTACTCTGTCGCAGGTCAGGCACCGAGGAGCAATATAGCGAAAAGGAACACCTCCTCCAAGAGATCGCCGATCTGACAAGAGAATTTCACTACAAGTACAAGGCGGCGGCCGTCCGGAGAGCGGCCCCGTCACGCCCGAAGCTCACAGCCGCCGAACGAAGCGACGCGTCTGCGTTACGGGACACCGCCGCCGCAACCAACTTAGCATATTCCACGGTACGTCAGCTTTTTCTTTATTTTTTCTTTTTATTTATTAATGCTGGGCTCGTTCGATTTACCTGCACCAGCCCACACCGGTGCAGAAAAGGTTCGATGCAGAAACGTGCAAGGCAGTGTTCCCAGCTTGTATTTTAAGATAGGGTGCACTCTTAACCCTTTGCCTACCGCAAAATTTTTGAAAAAGAAAAACGATTTGAAAATACTGAATTTCTTTATGTGCCTTATAAATTTAGTATGCAATACACAGGCCAAAAACAAATGCCAAAATATTTATTCTATGAGAAAACTTTGAACAGACTGCAAAAGAAAAGGGGATTAAAGTTCGGCTTCACTGCATTACCGCAGACAGTTCACGTCACCTTGCACATGGACGTCCAGGCTGGGCGTAGCAGTACTGCAGACAGTTCACATCAGCTTGCACGCGAAGTGAACGCAAAACGTGGAGGAACTGGAGGAGGATTTTCTACATTGATTCTAGTCCAATGCCGATACCCCGACATGGTGTCCTCATTGAAATCGGAGTCGTCTGAGCTAAAATCCAATAACTCAGCTGCATCACTCTCGCTGTTCAATGAAAGATTCATTTCCTCGTCTTCTGAATTTGAAGAGACGTTACAATATCTTCGTTTTCGCTCCAGTTTTGAGGCAAGATTGTCACTACGAACGCAGCGACCAGAAGTTGACGCTGCCATTTTTTAAATCCCCTGTTGTCTGCGTTGGAACAATTTTGTGCCAAATTCAGGAATTTACCAGGTTTTTGTTTTCCGTGAAGTGCCATCTGTCCACAGCAAAGATCACTAGAAACACGTGGACTAGCCCAGTTCGTCCATGGTAGCGTATTGGAGCCCGAATCAATGTGGACGAGCCCAGCCCGTCTTCGTGAGGAGCGGTACAAACAGTGTGGACGGACCCAGGTCGTCCATGGTAGGGAAAGGGTTAACTAGCATCTATGTGTTCACCGAGTGAAGCTGGTGCAGGAGATGTAGGTGAATCAAACAAGCCTACTGTTAATTTCTTTCAAGATGGTTACAGAAGAAGAATGTAAACCAAGTATCAAACATGTCGCACTTGCTGCAAAAACTTAAACAAAAGGTTTAAAAGAAAAAAGAATTTAGCATCATTTACAACATCTGGAGGACTTTCGCAGAATGGCAGCGCAACTGCGGACGCATGCCGTGCCTCCACTTCTACTGATGCTGCTGCTGCAGCGTACGTGGCAACCTCTTCGGTCGTCGAGGTACCGGAAAGTGCTGGCAACATATGTAAGTGGGATCAGGGCGTCTTAATGCATATCTGTTTGTCTTAAAGGGCAACTCCGGTCGAAAACCAAACCAAAATAAATGACGGGTATCGCTTTAGTAACTTCAAATATATTACAGCCGAAATTTTACGTCAAAGTGAAAATGCATATTCCACTAGGACCGATTTTAGTGATGTGACCAGTTGCTCTTTAGCAGGGGGCGAGCGGGTTAGCTTTTAGCCAAGGAACACTGGCACAGCACCCTTGTGACATCGGATCGCGGTGGAGCTGCGGTTGATTGGTTGTTCCTCTCACCGCAGCGCCGTTGACGTCACGTCGCGACCGTAGGCTGATGATCAGCGTTGCCATCCCTCTGGCGGATAGTTTTGGTTTTTCCGTAGACGCCCGAAACCAAACTTTGAGCCGTGATATTTATAAAACTACACACAATATCGAGAAAAAAAATTTATACCTTGGAATTCGGAGACACTGCTTTAGGTAAAAGCAGTTGTAATTCCAAATAAAAAAAAATATTGATTGAAGTTGCCCTTTAAGCATGTTTCACATGGTGCAATTAGCGGCTCCAGCGAACTATAGGGGGCGCGGTGGTCGAGCGAAAGGAGGTAGTTTTCGTTCTTCAGCACGTGGACCATCATAAATTTCTTGCACTGCAGCATAAAATCGGTGTTACATCTGAAAGCAAAGCGATTATCGACAGTAGAAACTTTCGTCTGCTCAGTGCGTAAAAATGACACGGTGGAAGCATAAATATGACTACTGGAAACGATGAATGTTTCTAGGCTGCCTGCGAGAACCAAGCAGCGATAGCAAACGACAGAGTCGAAGTGACCTCCTCTCTTGCGCTTCTCAGCGTGGCCGCTATGCAGCGTTGATTTCGCTGGAGTCACCAATTCTGCGGCCAAAATCACTGCCGCTAGCGATCACAGCACCGCTAATGTGGAAGAGCTTTTAAGCTCGAGCTGTTAGCTTTAATGCATGGTACAGCTGCATTTTATGCTATCCATTTTTTTGTATTTTGCCGATTGAAGGCCCATAGGTTTTCGGCTTTAGTTTATCATAGGGCGAGACAAAACATATGCCTACGCTTTTCATTATCATAGATGCTGTGGCCAGTCCTGCATACTTGAACCACCAATGGAAGCACCAATGGGAAACATAATATTTAAGAGTTAATTTCTTCAGAGGTGCTGTTTTTGATATTTTTTTCAGGGACCACTTGTGTTGTGGATACGGCAGAGCTCCTCTCGGCGGCAGATGCAGGCGACACATATGAAATTGTTGGTCTTGACGTGAGCAGAGAGTTACCTGCACTGCCACGGGCACCCCTTCGATCGATGTTTGAGGCCATGCACCTGCAGCTTCACCCGAGCAGACCGTGGAACCTGAAGCTAGCCGTCAGGTGCAGAGGGGTAAGCTCCAGGCTTCCCAAGCAGCTGAAATGTTCTATAAACCTCCTCAGAACATCCCTTGTGATTAGGTGAAGGGCTTGAGGTAAGGGGAGGTGCATGAACCAACACAAAGAGAGAAACATAAGCACTACCATTTGCAGTCGCCACGAACTGAAACCCACAGTGCCTGACATCGTTCGGAAAAAACATTCTTGCTCTGTATGTTTGTATATTGATATACCTTTTTTACAGTTTTTACCAAAGTACCTCAGGGGTATCCTGTTACATAGAAGACAAGTCTATCTTAATATCTGCATCTAAGAAGAGAAGTTGAATATTAGTTGTGAACACTTAATGTAATTCACATGCAGTAAAAGAAAATCTACTACGGTAATTCATTTCACAATCTGGGCACCTTGATCTCACCTCTGTTCTTCAACGCCTAGGTTGCCTGACATTCCTGTTGCCTTTGTGCTTCCTACGATCACTCTGTGCTCGTTCATGTGCTTTGTATTGGTGCGTTCCAGACTATTTCATGACTCTATCATGTTTCCTGTGCCTGCGTATGTCGTTCTGGGGCTTCTTTTCTTGTAGGAAGCTAAGGAGGCTGCAGCAGAGTAAATGAAGTTGCTGAATATATTCATGTCAATTTGCAACTTCATGATATCCTTGCCCTATGTTATTCTTTCGGATCAGATATGTAGCTGGGCAAAGTGACCACAGTGTAGACCTCCAGGAAAAGTTTGTGCACATTTCTGGAGAAACATTTGTCTAACATGTATTCCATATGTTTTTCTTACAGGAAAAAAAAAAGAGAAAATGAGAATCTAATATTCTTTGAAAAAAGATTACAGTTTGAACAGGACACCCGAGAGAGGGAGAACAAGCTGGAGGAGCGGCGGATTTCACTTGAAGTGAAGCGCCTCATCCTCGAGGAGAAGCGCCTGGCCCTCGACAGAGACAAGCTCCAGCAACAAGTTCGTGAGTGGAAGGAGGAAAAAGAGGAGAGAGCTCAAGAAAGGGCAGAAAGAGAAAGGGATCGTGCACAGGAAAGACACTTTTTTCTCACACAGCAGCAAGCCATGCTGGAGCTCGTGCAATCAATGATTGCTAATAAGTTCAAATAGACAGCAGGCTTTGAGTTTTCACTTTTATTTGTTTAATTACCATAACATAAATATTTTTATATTCTTCCACACATCTTGCAAGTACAAATGTAGAAATGGAAGCTCCAATAAAGATTACTATAGCCAAAGAAAACTTGTTCAAAAGAAAATAACAGCGTCTTTTAACTCGGCAATCAGAAAATGACTAGAAAGGCCACTTTATGGTATAAATAAACAGTGTCACCAAAATTATGTAGAACATGCGAACTGTACAATATCTTGACAGCAGCTAAAGAAGTTCTGCATGAAATAGCACTTAATGTGCAACACTTAAAAAAGACTAGAAAGACCACGTTTAGGAAAATTTACAGGACCCACCAAGCCTATACGAGACATGCAAACTGTGTCTTATCTTATAAGAATGCTAACTGCCAAGGTTTCATGGAGGCAAAGCACCAGCCTACGGATACCCAGTTGGTTTGAATGTTTGTAGAGCTGCCCGCAGTTTGACGGAGGCTTATTGCAAAGAAGGTGCCATGATATTGAACTTTCTCTTGTACGTCGGAACATCTCCAGATGGATGAAATTAATCCTCAGTCCTGCACTGGGCCACGCCAGATACACTTTGTCGGTTTGGCACGTAGAATCCCCAAAAGTAGTGCTCAGTAGAATGGCCCAACCAGGGGAGGTTGCTCGCTCAAAGTCGAAGTGGTGGCTGGGCCGGGGACAACATGGCAATTCTGCTTGATGCAGGTGGCGGCCAAAGGTGACTGCTGAAATCGTCAGTTATTGAAGGGCTCATTCAGTAAAAACATGAAACGCCCACTGATTGAGTCATCTAATCACCGACGGTTTAGGCAGTCACCTAAGCACCTTAATACGAAAGGGTGGTGATAAGTGTAGATTGCCAGCAAAACTGTTGTTTTCCTTGGCCTAGCTACAATTTCGGCCTTGAGCAAGCGTACCTTCCCTGCTCAAGCTGTTCTATTGAGCGCTATGTAATGGAGCACTGATCTTACGAGATAAGACACAGTTTGAGTGTTTCATATAAGTTTGCTGAGCACTGTACCAAGACTATCTTAAAGGTTGTGTCTGTCCCGTACAGAGGGTTTCAAGTATTGCCCCAAGTTGGGTGCACGGAGGCCAAAGAACATACCAGTCTGGCTACCGTACAGGCATGTATGACAGTTAGTAAAAATTGCCCCCACCCGATACATTCTCCCCACATCCTGCAAGTACAGCTTCTGGTTTTTCTTGAAGTCCAGGAATGCGAACTCGGATACTATTTTACCGAACCCCCACTCAACAGCTTGTCGCACAGTACTCATGCCACTGTTGAAGAGCACTTGCTGTTGAGTGAGGGTGGCACCTCCGTACGCCCTCATCAGAAGCCGCCGTAATGGGTACGCTGGGTCGCCGTAGATGGTGTAAGAGCGGCCCTGCACAAGCTTTTCCAACTTTCCGTAGAGGCCACTTTCGCGCAAAATGCCTGCATAAAACAGAGAAACAAGAAGGCACTGTACTTTTTACCACTTTTAAAAACAGAAGTTGCATGGTATTGATTGGCCAGTGTGCTCATTTGGCATGCTCCGTTTTGCAATGCAGTGTGAATGCTGCATTACAATACTTTGTCCTCTGTAGAACAGCACACTCTTTCAGAGCTAAGTAAATATTTTTGCAGCGAACCTCGAAGAAAGCAAGGGCTGCATAAATTGGAAGAGATATAGTTAAATCGGAACATGCCACTGCATCTTAACCAAAAATGAAGCACAAAACAGCATTTCAAGGCTTGTTATTTAAGCTCAGCGACTGGACTAGCTCATTTGAAAGAATCGCATTAATAATTGTATTGAACACATGATTTCCTTCGTGATTTGTATTTGGTTCGGTGCTACCTCTATAGCAAAACTGCTTATTCAGTGTTGCTACAGAGTTGAAATGCTGATTAATGGGAAGTGTTAATATCAAACGTGGAAGCATGCAGGTCCAGAACAGCTGCACCCACCAGCGTCATGCCTGTGTCCCGGATAGGGACCATCAAGTTGGCAAATGATGCCGTTTGCACACATTATTGACTGGTACTTCAATGCGTGCAGCCTCTTGTGTCCAGAAAAGTAGATCCGCTGGTTGGTGGAAGGGCGGCAGATGGGCCTCGCCGTCCCATCCACGAAACCCCAGCAGTTTGGGAGGGGTGCACCTCGGGCATGAACGGCCTGCAATAATGGTACATTCTTAGCGAGACCTTCCTGGTATCTAAAACATGATTTGCTTTGATCAAGTGTCTAGTTTTTATATTTAATTTTATTCCCCAACTGCTTGGTGTCAGTATTCCTTATTTGTAGTATTGATGAGTTTAAATGCAGCTTTTTATTTTTTTTATTTTAACATCTTGCCAGCTATGAGGCCAAAGCAGGTTGCTAGGCACACTTAACTATTAAAAATGTTATCAAGAAAAGCATGCACAGTTTCACTATTTAGAGCTTCTGTGGATAGGCAGTTCTATTCTTCAATACATTTAACAGAAAGGATTTTAAAAGAGTCCATATTGAAGCGATAAGGCTCATTAAATTTGTTATGTTTTGTTCTAGTTGTGTTACCGAAGTTTGCATATGTAGCATATTTATTAATATCAATTGAATAACGACCATATACCAAGACCTCATCAGTGTACTTTCTCCCATGCACAGGAAGTGTTGTTTTTTGTAGTATACAAATGTGTCATGAAATAATATCAATTACTAAACAAACATCCCTCTTTAAGCTGTATGTTTTTTCTAAATTAGTTCTGTTTAGCAGTTCTGGGTAACATATTTGACCTCCTTAATTGGAAATGACAACAGTAGGCACAAATTTCTTTTGGGGGGAGGGGGAGGGAGAAGAGGTCTGAGGCTGGGAGGAAGAGAGGGAAGGGGGGGGGGCTAGGATTGCTATGACTTGTGGTGTAAAGAGGGGAGGGGAGTCAAAAGGCATGTGTATATTATATGGTTGACTAGATATTGGGGAGGAGGGAGGGGGGCTTAAAGCTTATGACTAGCCCAAGCAGCACGTTGTGAATGGGCCATCGCTGGCAAGTGTACTATGGCCAACCAGATGTTCGATGGCCCAAGCTTGGCCAAAGTGCTCGGCAATAGCAGTGTTTTCGTCCTCGTCTGGTGACTTGCCATTCACTTTATGCCAGTCGCTGGCCATTCACTTTAGGCCAGTGACTGGCCATTCAATTTAGGCCAGTGACTGGCCATTCACCTTTGTCCAGTGGCTGGCCATTCACTTTAGGCCAGAGAATCGCCATTCAGCTTTGGCCAGTCACTTTCGGCCAGCCACTGGCCATTCACGTTTGGCCAGCCACTAGCCATTGACTTCCGGCCAGTCACTGGCCGAAGGTGGCTGTAGTTATACACTTAATACATAATTTATCACAGACTGCCAGAAAATTTGGGTGTTCCTCAGAAGACTGTCAAGAGTTTCGGGAGGTCAAGTTTGAGAACTCAACCCCAGAAACGTTTACATAGTAATGACACGCGAAGCTGCTGCAAGTCTGTTCAATATTTATTGGACCTTTTTGAGTACTAAGTCTTACGACGCTGGTTGCGACCACCATTCCAGTCGTCGTGGGTTCAGGGATGGCATGTTGTCCCACCATTAAGATCCCCCGGTAGTGCAGCAGTAAAAAAAAATAAAAAAAGAAGTAACTTTAGGTGAAGGGACAGTGCAACAATAGAGAGTTTTAGTAGATCGTTCCGATACCTCCGATAGCCCCGATAACGATACTACGCATGCGCAAGGGAGGCGGTGGCGGAGTATCGGGTATCGTTATCGGAGTCATGGGAGCGATCTACTAAAACTCTCTACTCTTCAGTTACAATCTTTTTCAGTTTACACAAGCTTACTGGCACTAATGGGAAAGAGAAGCCTTGAGTACACAGTAAAAGTTTTTACACACTTAAGGGTGTAAATCAGTTTGTCCCTGGGCTAACACCCTTATGGCGTTCAGGCAAGCACCCTTCATAAAGGGTGCTCTCTAACACCCTTGGTAAAGGGTGCTTGCCATGAAATGGGCACCTGCTGGGGTGGCCCAGTGGATGCTGGGCCACCCCAGCCAATCTGGCGCCGGGAGGGTATCATGCGACGTTTTGGTTATGTGGAGTACAAAGTCACATGACGCTCTCCCGACGCTGGATTGGCTGGTAGCGTCCGCCGCGCTCGGACGTAGGGTGAAATGAAGTATAGACCCCAGTGAACATTTCATTGGAATGTGTCCAATACACATAACAGAACTTGTAAATCGTACAAAAATCATATATGGTATTGCATATTCTTGTATTATTATTACATGATTTACAGCTTATCATGTTTACTGAACACATTTACACTTTTTCACTTAGAGGGATTGCCACATCACCACATACGAGGCATGTGATAAAGAAATAATGAGTCACACTAAACACAACTCACTTCATGAAGTAATACAAAAGAGCTCCTTGCAAGCCACATCATAACCCCGTGGGCAATGGGGAAGTGCTACGGCACCCCCCTTTCTCGAACTCTAAGTGAGCAAGCAGTGGCCCCAAGCATCGCACTGCACGGTTGAACCATTGTGAATATCATGGTCTGCCACAAACGAAGCATGTAAAGCTTTCCTGTTTGGAGATCAAGTGACGTGTTTTGTTTGTCTCAGGGGATTGCAGGCAACCCACGCTTCGCTTATCACTTGTCTCCTACGCGCATCTGGCTCAACTCACAAATCGCGCATTGTACCAAACGGTCCAAGAAGACGGAAAGGAAGGACTCCCCTCATTCTCGGACCCTCGTTCGTGCAACCGGAAACAGCCATTCTCCCCCTAGAAGATTAATTAGCCCGTCGCTTAAAACTCGAACAAAAGTTGCTTTCCCCACCCCGTTCAGCCTACGCTGACAGTGTTGTGGAAGCTACGTGCTCCTTGGGCCAGCCCACGTGGGCCAGCCACACGCTCGTCACGCCACGGGTACTTCGAACGGCTCGGTTGTAACGCGCTCACGCTATTGACACCACCACAACGCTGCCAGCGCCACCAAGGGCAAAGCTGATAACCACGCCTGCCTTGCTACTCCACGAACGCGGGGAATCTTTTCTTTCTGCTTTTGTTTGCGCCGGATATCCCCTGACGCATCGCGCTCTCCGTTCGCTTCTCTTCCAGCGCTTGCTGGAGTGCACCGTTTGGAACGCAAAATATAGCCAGCCGTTCAAAATACAAACGTGCGATTATCATTTACGGTTATTATCCCTCATACTTGATTCACTTCCAAACGAAACTTGAATATTTCGATTTTTGTTTCCGTACCCCTTTAAAGAACACAACTGTGATGATGATTTAATGAATGATGATGATGAAACAATTTTGACTAAAGAGAGTGACCACAAGGGTATACTGAAAGAATCACTAACAATGATGAAACCTAGAAATCTATTAGTGCCTTCCCTGTGTTTTGCCATTGAGTGGAAGAAGTTTCTTGGCCTATATTTTTGTTAGAAACAGGTGTGATGCGTCCGTCTGTTTTTTTTTTAATCTTGATGTTGTGCATATTTTTTATTTCCTAGGTTGAAAGCTCAAGGCATTCTCTGTTGTTTGTTCAACCACATTTACCCAAATGTTAGTAGGTTGCTTTTTTATGTTTACTGTCCTTGGCTATGTCAGGGGTTGTGAACAGTAAAACGCTGTAAGGCCCAGGAAGGAATTCCCTTTGTAAAGTGGTGGCTAGCAGAAGAGGAATTGTAAAGACTGACTTCATGTCTTCTCCTGCGTTTTCTTTTTTGGGTCGCCTATTCATTTTTTGCCAATTAATACTCAGCTGTGTTTAATACTTCTCTGCGTTTGTGTCATCCTTCAGAGAACCCGTCTTTAATAAATTATGTGTTTAGCCTGTTTAGCTAGCTTGCACCCTCCTTTTTGTTTTTGACCATTAATAAATGACTGTAGGATTCAACTGCAAGCAAGGTGTTAATGGATACTAATAAATAGCAGCATACTTTTATTGACTAGTGGTGATGATTGGACTAGTTAGTAGCCATTTATTGAAAAGAAATCATGAAGAATATGGGAACAGAGGATCTGAACACAACACAGCGCTGTGTTGATCTCCTCCTTCTTGTCCGTGCCATTCGCATTCCATATTTTTAGTAACACATTTATTAATAATTTTCTGCTTGGTATCATCTGTATAGGGGCTCACTGGAACGACCCATCTGCTATTGCATTCACTTTAGGGCAGCTCCCCCTTCCTCATGGTGCCATCGCTCAGGAAGTGCAAGGCGGGTGTCACTCTCACTCTTGTGGCTCAATTCCCCAGGTTCCCATAGGTTTCAAGCTGCTAGCCAAACTGAGTCAGGCCTTCCAGCCCTGCAGGAAATGTCAATTGCACTCTTTTAGACGTAGACACCCACATTTTGCGTGTACGTGAAAGAAGCTCTAACAGAGAGGAAACAAAATGATTGGACTTTTTTTAATGCATCCTTTTCTTTCGCTGAGAACATACATAAACGTTACACGCTATTGTACATTCAGTGGTGCGGCTTAATTTAGGAAGAGCACTTTTTTCATATAACTTTTATATAAAGAAAAAACTCAATATAATAGGTCGGACATAAATGGTTGCTATGAACTGCCCTATACATTTACACATTACCTGATATCATTAAAAGAGTAGAGTAGCGTAGGGCTGCACTGCACCAATTACGTCTTTGTAACCAATTAATAGTTGGCATTTATTTGTTTATTACTATTGGCTATTATTCTTTGACAGAAAGAATAACCGGGCGAGTTGGTACGGTGGTAGTCTTTGAACTCCATCAAATATTCAGGTTTGACATTAGTTAAAGGGGCCCTCCGGATCGTTATGCGATGATCTATTTATGGCGGTAACTCAATCTACAGGCCCTAAGGATCCTAAAAATCATAAAATTACGGTCATGCGCGGCGGATTTCCCTATTAAAATTGCTATCAAATTCCACGGCACGCCCCCCTTTCTGAGATGAGCCCGGAAAAAGGGAGGGGCATATCTTTACGCGTCAGCCAATAGCAAGCGAAGGATTCCGGCGTCACTGCGCGTCACCAACGCGGCCGACCGCCGACCCGCGGAGGAATCTCTTGAACACGCGCGGACCGTCGTCAAGGAACCCGGACTTTGTGCTCGGCAGTCGTCGTTCGTCGCACCGCACCGTCGCGCTGCTACTGCAATACGCAGTCGCATTCCACAGATGACAAGGAAAAGTTTGACTCGTTGACGTGGAAGGATCGCAAAGCTGGCTTCGGAGTCGGGATCCACGGGAAGGAGGAACATGTGTC